TGTGTTTGATTACTCTGTCTGGCTTTCTCGAGGACCAGGATGTGTGACACAAAAATCTGAATTTTAGAAATAAAACTGAATTATGGAACTGAAAGTGAAAGTAGTTTTGTTAAAGTTCTAATAAATAAATTTGATATAGCTTATTTTTTTTGGATATGTGGAATAAAACATTTGTTCAGTAACAGTGATGTTTGAAATGAAAGTTTACTTTTTCACACAAATAGAAATAGTTACGTATTTGTATAGGAAGTATGAAGGTTGAAATATTTGACATGTAATACAAAACTGTTTCAAAGAGCCTATTCATTATATGATAATTCGGCTTGCCATACACAACTGTTCGTGGTTGTGTGACCCTCTGCAGTTTAGTYAACGAAATACTGTTGCTGTATAAGATCGTACTGGGAGATAATGTGACGTTATTTTAATATTTTAGACATAAAGGCCCCCACGGAGGCTGTGAATTATTGTGACCCGGCAAAAGTCACGATGGATTAGGTTTATTTATTTTCCTCAGGCTGACTGACAGCGAGAACTGGACGAGGGACTTTGGTGCGGCTAACGTTAGCTAGCAAAGCAACTTAGCTAGACGTGTTGACTCAGCCTTACAGCTGCGACAGGTATTATGTAAATTCTTGCCAAGTTCTTCTGTGTGTGTCGCTTTCTGTGCTGTCTTCCTGTGGCCTCCGGCCCACTTTGTACAGCTGTTTTTTTCTGTAGTTGTTTGGCGTTGGCGTTAGCCGTCAGTGCTGCTCTTAGCTCATGTGTAGCTATAGTTACTGCCTCCCAGTGGTGGAAAAAGTATTCAGATCTTTCCACGGTAAGTTTGATTTCAACATCATGCCACAAAATCCTAGTTAAGATGAAATAAGTACTATTTAAAACCACAGAGAAAGTGTTTGTCAGTGAAGGTTTTGATTTAGCTTCTTTATTTTATTGCTATTATACTGGTATTATGGATGTTATTGTTAGATGATAAACTTGTGGAAAGTTAGCTTTCTCACCACATCTATCTTAAAATAATGTGAAATAAGATGTTTGTTTTATTTTCTGTAGAAAAAAGGAAAAMAWTTAAATATTATAATAAAACCAAAAGACAGGCCATATTTTTTCCACCATTTACAAGTATTAATATCTTATATCTTTATAATTTCATTTATGCTTTTAAAATATCATTGTGCTTCTGCCTGTCATATGTCTATCTGTGTATGTACTTGTGTTTTATCAACATTAGTCTACTAAATAATGTTTTATATATATATATACACAGTATGTTTGTGTTTTGTAATCCAAACTAGCTTTTAGAGACACAGGCTTGTTGAACCTCGTTATAGAGTAAACAATGTCAGTAATTACACTTTTTATTAAGATTTTAGCTCAAATAATTGTCTAAAAAAAGCCCTAAAAATAATGAAACATGCCTGTTAAAAATTTCCACTGATCGATGTGACAGTATTCAATGCCTTATCTTGTCTGACCAGTCCAAAAACCATACTTTATATTATTTAATTGATCTAGATAAATCAATATTAATATCTCGCATCCTAATGACAATATTTTGTAAGTTGACTGAAAAAAATGAAGCTGGTCTAGCTGGTTGTTAAATAATTTTCTGATTATTAAAAACGTTAAAGCTGTAATTCAATAATTGTAAAGCTTTATGTTTCTACCTGGCTTTTCCCGTTATGTGTGAAATGTTTTTATTTTTATGAGACTCTTCCATGTTTGTGTTTTGTTTTAGGTTCTTGTGGTGGTCTGAGGTCCTTGACAGATTCTCAAGGCGTCATGGCTCCAAAAGACATCATGACGAATTCCCACGCCAAATCCATTCTCAACGCCATGAACTCGCTTCGCAAGAGTAACACGCTCTGCGACATCACTCTGAGGGTGGACAACACAGACTTCCCAGCTCACCGGATTGTCTTGGCAGCCTGCAGTGACTATTTCTGTGCCATGTTCACCAGTGAGGTAAAAGTGTTTTTCTCTTTTTCCTGATAAAATGATGTTACAGTTAAATATCTGATTTGAAAAAGGATTACACTTCTATAATGTTTTTCCCATTTTCTTGTAACTTGTAATTCATATGGATTTTGTACTGTTCATATTAAACAGAATTGAATATGAAAAATATTTTTGTAAAACATATTTAAGTGACTGGGATTGTGTGCTAGCTTGAATCCCAGACAGGAAACTTTCTGAATGAGGTTTGCATGTTCTCTCCGTGCACACATGGGTTTTCTCTGGGCACTCTGGTTTCCCCCCCCCACAGCATGTTAGGCTAACTGGTGATTCTATCTTGGACTTGACTGATGGATGGATGTTGGAAAACAAGAAAGATATGAAGAAATTGTGTGTTTTGAACCCCTAAATTTATATTGTGATCTTTGGTTAAATGTAAAAGGCTGTTATATGGTTTAGATATGTCCAGAGGTGTGCGATCTAAAGTCATCTTTCACAAAGGTTAGGGTGAAATTATGAAAAAGCACCAAAAAAAGAGCTGTTCAAGAAAGGAAAGCTCTTCAAAATTCACATTTTGAGGAGGGAATCACTTTAATCAGGGAGATAAAAATCCCTATTTGCACACACTACTTCCTAATACTAGGATGGAATAATGTCATCATGTGTCTAATCTAACACACAGGCCTTTATCTAAATGTGATAAAATTTAAACAATTCAGATTGTTTACATAGCTGAATGTCCAACATAATGACTAAGTATGAAAAACTGCTCACAAAAACAAAGATGGTACAGTCAACAGATGTGACGTATGATCATCTGTTCAGCAAAACCCAACAGATTGCTTTGTTTAGTGATTAAATCATAGTCTGCAAATTTTCATGTTTTGAACTTAGATTTTTGCTGTTCTACTAAATATTTTTTCTGCTGTGTGTGTGATCTAAATGTAAAAGATAAAGTGATTAAATGCTGTCAGACTATCAGTCAATATGGTTTCATAAATCTCATTTTAACAAACACAAGCTGAACCAAAGTGCTTGTTTAATAAAATTAAACAAAACAGCGAACAAACCTGACGAACTCAACATGTCTTATCTCTACAACACCCTAGGAAATTGGTCTTTGTTTTTCAAGTTTGGCATTTCAAATAGCTCTCGATGTGATCTGGCATTATTTAAATTAAAATGGCTACATGCCTGCAATTTCTTGAAGGTGGGGGGTCTTGTTGGGAGGGGAAATACTGACACCTTCGATACAGTGGTCATGGTGGTGGCAGTATTATGGTGTGGGAATGTTTTTCATCAGTAGGTCCTGGCAAATTGATCACAGTTGTATAAAAAATAGATGGCAATAATTACAGGCAAATTCTTCAGGATAATGTTTTCAGTCTGGCAAAGAATCAAGACTGGGACAGAGGTTTATTTTTGAAATTATCCAGTTGTTTTATTTTTTGTCTTTTTTTTTTGTCAAACTGGTTTAATCTTTATTTTGAGACCAGTTTTTACTCAATACCAGATTGTTCTTTAGAAACTGTCAAATCTCTAACTAATCCCCACCCCCCCAACAAAAAAAAATTCAAATCACGAGAAGGGGGTCTCTGCAGAACATGTATTGTGGGCGGAGACGGCACTACTCGTGGAGTAGCTTGGTCTAGTCAGGCAGGAAGCAATGCTTTTTAAGATTAATTTTAGTCATAACTTGAGAAAGGAAGGTGCTATCTGCACAAAATTTGAACGCCATACATATGGAGGGACGTGTAACAATTTGGCTTGGTCAAAACATCCCWAAYCAGCCTGTAAAAAGATTGCTAAAAATCAGTATGAATATTAACATTAGTCATGATTTGAGACAGGAAGAAGCTTGCCGCATAAAATTTTAAGTCAAATTATGTTTACATTTTCACAATATTTTTTGTTTGAGTCATTGGCTATGTTCACACTGCAGGCAAATCCGACCCAAATCCGATTTTTTTGACCCATCTGACTCATATCCGATTTTTTTATGACAGTCTGAATGAGACAAATCCGATTTTTTCAAATCCGACCCAGGCCGTTTCAGTATGTGGTTTTAAATCAGATATATATCTGATGTTTTCAAAGTGACTGCAGTGTGAACGCTCATGTCACATTTCATCCGACTTTTTCATCAGGAGGAGGGGGTGAAGGATCGATAAGACACTAACCTCAAGTCTCGCTGTTTAAATCTGTAGCTCCATGTGTTTACAGCTCCAAAACACAAGTCCAGTTGCTTCATCTTTTTACTTTTCATTAGTATGATAATAACGATGTCCAGCCTGGGTTGCGGAGCGTATCGATCCTAAAGTTAGCGACTCGGTCGATACTTTTTTCCAGCTCGTAGTTTCGTTAAAAAAAAACGCTTCACTGGAGCATCCCGGTCAGAGGCAGCTTCAGATATAAACACTGAACTAAAGAAGAGTCAGATAATAATTTAATCGGCTCTGATTAAACAACTTCAGATTCGATGCGCAAAATGTAGCATCCATGCTAGCTCTGTAAACAAACAAGCCGGCTGATGAGACGTCACGTCTTTTACTGCGCATGCGTGCCACATCAGTGCTGTGTTGCGTTCACGCAGGAGTCTGATACAGGTCACATTTAAAATGTAATGTGAACGTTCACACAAAAAGATCAGATATTTTCAAAAAATCGGAACTGAGCRTTAAGAACTGCAGTGTGAACGTAGCCTTTGTTTTGTTTTAAACTGTACCTAGACAGTCAATAAATCATTTTTTTACTATTATTACTTCCTCTTTTAAGTTGCCCCACAAGACATGTCAATCCGACCAATCATAATTAGGGTAAACTCCGCCCACATCAAAACCTCCACCAATCATGCGTAGGGTCGTCTCCGCCCACAAGACAACATGTACTGCAGAGACCCCTACTTGAAAATCAGTGCAACAGTACAAAGTGTTGGTTACATAAAAAGGTAAAGATTTATGTTAATATTTATTTATTAATTTTAAAAAAGAAAATCTATTTACAGTAAAAACAAAACACAAGTCATAAATTAAATGAAAGGATTATGTCTTTGGTAGAGGTGGGGTGTTGGATTGAGTCACTCCATTCCACCAGGGGGCTTTATTGGTTCTTTACTTTTTGTTCTGAAGTGGTTTTCTTTTGGCTTTAGGCCCTGTTTACATGGAGCTGGTTTTAGTAAAACCAAAATATTTTTGTTGTGATCCAGCTGCCAGTTTACACGTCACTGCTGAGCGGAGTCTACAGCTTCACCTTTTGAAACCAAGTGGAACATTTTGGTAACACCCCCCGTGGAGGTGTGAAGTCTTCCGCAGGTGTGAAACTCTCATGTGCAAACAGCCGGCACACAGGCGACTGCAGCAAAAGTTTCTTCTAAACTAACAACAGTTACAATAATTACAGACAGCAGTGTTTTTTTCTGTTACACACTTTTTGAGGGTGTAGGAGGATCAAAACCAAAAATCGTCCTAGGTCCGAGGGAACGTTAGTTTATTCACTAGTTCAGACATAACTGTGATCGTGTTGACACTGCCGGATCAGTGCATGAATGAGACCAGCATCAGGGTTGCCAGATAAAAACAAAAATTTGTTTTCTGCCCCTCCTTTTCTTTGCACATTTTCAATAAACTCAACACACAAAATCACATTTTGAGTACCGTTAAATGTGTGATTTGCTTTGAATAAACACTGCCACACTCTGAGACGATCCAGGTCATGTGGATCCTGGGCCACTTCACAGCACGGACCACAGTCTTTTCTGATCTGAAGCATTTCTGCTCATTTATTTAACTGGTTTCTGAAAATCAAAACAATGCATTTTTAAAACAATGTTCAAATTCACAGATATCTCTTTATTGGTGTTATTTTTCTTTCTTTTTTTCCCCCCAGTGGTAATTTCTGCAGTAGCTGATCATAGTTTTGTAGTGAAGTCTTAGTAGACTTGCTCTCTAACAGGTCTTGTCTTAATGTTTGGTCTAGAGTTCACATTTCTCTTTCTCAGAAACTGTTTTATTGTATCACAGCAGAACCAAGGGGCAGTTTTCAGTGAAACTTTAACATTTTTGTTGCGGCTCTGCCACTCATTTACCCATCATCARCAGTGATCAGAGTCTCTGACGCTTGAACTTTTTGAATCTTGCTCTCAAGCCCCGTTTTCACATGAATGGTCTCTGGAAATATTAGTGTTTTTCAATGTTTATTAGGATGAATGAACAAAAAAAAAATCACATTTACATGCATCTGCTGTAGTAAAGTGCCAGGTAGGGTTGCCAGGTGGCAAATGGGGTTACCAGTTAAACATAAAAATACATTTTTGCCCCCTCCGTTGTGTGTCTGTTACAGAGCTGAGCTTATCAAATTAAAAATAAATCTTCAGTAAATATAACGTTAGCTAATCTAAAATGTGTTATTGTCTGAGTAACGACACAATCCAGGTTACTGAATGTGATGTGAAGGAAACAAACAGTGACTGTGTGACTACATGTTCATAAAGAGCAGATGACTGAGATCAGATTACAATTTGTCACTCAGGACATTTGGGGATAGATTATCGACACGTGTGAACACACGTTCTAAGTGCTGTCAACTTTGGATGTGTGATAAAACCCAGAGAGAAATGCCTCCCAGAGGGATAATCCAGCTGTAGCTGCAGCTGAATGGGCTCTGAAAGTATTGATAAGTGACCACATGTTTCAGCTCTTTTCCTTCTTAATTCTTGTTTCAGAATTTAAAAAAAAAGATCTTCTAAAGTGTTAGACATGTTGAGTTGCTCATGTGACAGGAACCTCCAAAAAGAGATTTTAATTCCAGATTGTAACAACAACTGTGTTGTTTTATTGTTTTTGTTTCTTTCCTTTCCTTTTAGACTCGTCTATCCCATAGGTAGAAGTGGATTTAACTAATCTAGGTGGAAGCTCTTAACTTCCTAACTCTGTGTTTTCGTTGCCCTACAGCTGGCAGAAAAGGGGAAATCTTTCGTCGACATTCAAGGCTTAACTGCAGCAACAATGGAGATCTTGTTGGACTTTGTCTACACAGAGACTGTGCTCGTCACCGTGGAAAACGTACAGGAACTGCTCCCCGCTGCGTGCTTGCTGCAGCTCAAAGGTAATGTTGGTCTGACAAGTCTAGGTGGGTGGTACGTGCTGTTCTTCCCTCTGAATGCCAGGACCCAACAAGATCGTTTTGACATGTGTGGAACCATAACACAGATTTTTATTGATAGGAGGACTCACTACAAGTGAAATTAGTGTAATTCAGTCAATTCTCAAAATCCCTTATCTGCTGAGAGTGGGACAGAGGTTCAGACCCGTCCAATAGCTAATCAGTCCAGTCTGAAATAAGCTTTATACATCACTATTTACAATCAGCCTGGACCATATTGACCAACAAATTAATCACCTTTATTTATTTATGGAATTTAGTTGATATGATGATTAATCGATGACAGTTGCACTTGCATGTTTTTAATTAAATCAATTATGTCAGTGTGTTGTGAAGACCCTGTCAAACGTTTTGACAACTTGTGAAAAGTTTGTCCAGCACTTCAGATGTGTAAGCTGAAGATGGAATTTAAGAAAATCTGCTGGAGGCTTCTTTGGAACTATACGTACTGTAACGCTAACAATTAGATGGGATCTATAGCAGAAAAAACAAACAGAACAAAATGTTCATAAGTCGACACAAGTTGTCTGAAACGTTACAGTGTGACAGGTCCTTAAAATTATACTTACAAATCATCAAACTAACTTCTTCACTCTAGCAGCTACAGCCCTCATTATCTCTTCCAGCACTCCTGCTCCTACGGGACAGACTGACTGGATTCTCTGCTGAATAGATTTGTTTCCACCTAGAGGASAGTTGCTGTAGTCGACATCGTGGCCTCGCTCTGCATTTCCTGGCTTTTGTTGGGTTTATGGCGGTGTTTCAGGTGGTGTGTTAGTGTTGTCTTCACTTTGCTGTTGCACACCTTGCAAATGGTCCAGTTCTGCTCAAGGTCAGTCCTTATGAAGCCAAACCAGTTCCATACAACAGAACCTCATCTAGGGCCGTTCTGTGCCTTCTGACATCCTTGTTTGATGTTATGGGCTTACCTGCGCTTGTGCGTCGCACACAAAAATACGTCATGATCATCATGTGGCACTAATCTCAGTAATGACTTTTCACAAGCCTAATCTGCAACAGATAAGATGGTTATCCTGCAGAAATCTTACTGCAGGATTATATTTAAAAGATTATTTGGTTTGAATGGGAAAAATAATGATTAGATTTCTTTCTTTGTCCTTCTGATAAAGTGTTGTATCCATTGATAAACAGTATATTACTGGATTGTGTGTGGCTAGCGCATTGCTAGCTACATAGACGTGCACACACTGGAGCTCTGTTATGCATTGAGGAGTCTCAACAAAATGAATGGATGTCAATGGACTGTGAGGCATCATCCTGAAGAAAACTCATAAATTTCTTATTTCTTCCTCGATTTTTACAAATTATGGTTCAAAATAAAGCTGAGGAAGTTGTGAATTTTATAGTTATGGACATTTAAAATAAATAACTATTTTAGATGACTTAACAGTGGCTTAAAATAAGTATTTTGCATTTCAGAGGTGCTGTTTTCATACAAGTTAATGTGTTCTGACAGCTGGATATTCAAACATGTATTTATTAATCAGATATGAGTCTTAGATAGTAAATAAATAATAAATTTCATCTTTAAAGTATGTATATTTATTTATTTATTTATTTATTTGTATGTGTACTTGAAAGATGAATTTAAATGTATAAACGTATATTAATATTCACATGTATAAAGTATTTTGCATTTCAGAGGTGCTGTTTTCATA